TTTACCTACTTGATTTTTGTTATTAATTAATCGAGACTGGTTTGTATTGACTTGAATGAATCTGAATTCCTTAGTTACAATAGTTTCAACAGTCAATGAAATAGTTTTATATTCCGAAGAGACTCTTTGAAGGGAATCACAGCAATTCGCATCGCACATGTCCGAATCACAGGCAGTCTCGGATTTTGCACTGGAGAAGACACTCAAAGAACAACGTGAATATTTACCAGTATTCGCGGTACGACAGAAAATGTTGAATGTGATTCGTGACAACAGTGTTGTGATTATCGTCGGTGAAACGGGTAGCGGTAAAACCACTCAGTTGGCGCAGTATCTTCTTGAAGAGGGCTACGGTTGGTTTGTTTGTTTTTTTCATTTGGATTCGTTATAGCTGATACGATTTCATCTTCATGAATCTCATTGATTTCATGAAAAAGATTTGCAGTTGTTTTATTTGTTGCTTATCGGGAATAGATGGTGGTGAAAGGGAGTGGAAGCATGAAAAAGAAATGAATTAGCAAATCAGAATTGAATTTCTTAGGAATTCAAACGATTCTCTTTGATAGTAATATTGAAATATGCTCGGGATAATTGAATAAATGTAGACTGGTAATGAGAAGTAATAAAATGATGGTGGCATTGAAATGAATGGTACTTAAGGAAATGCGGGTATGATCGGTTGCACGCAACCCCGTCGTGTGGCAGCAATGTCGGTGGCGAAGAGAGTGAGTGAGGAAATGGGCGTTGAGTTGGGACAAGAATGCGGTTATGCGATCCGATTTGAGGATTGCACTTCGGAGAATACGAGACTCAAATATATGACCGATGGTATTCTGTTGAGGGAGTGCCTCGGCGATCCGGATTTAGATCAGTACGCAGCAGTCATTATGGATGAAGCACACGAACGGTGCGTACATTGCTTTCCTTTGATTCATAGACATCAGCTGAATACTTTGATCAAAAATTTCTTTTCGTTGAAGCGGATTTGTTCTGTTTTTTTTTTGGTAACTTAAAATTTTTGTCTTTGAAATCGTAGAATGTATAAGGGGATTCTGGAAGGCAATCGGATGCAATGGCAAAATGAATGACAATGGAATAATTCACATATGCGCATCATTTTCAGCTCANGGAATGGGTAATTCATGACAAAAGTACTTTCAAGTACTTTCGTATAATTTCTGGTGGCTTTAGGTCGTACTTTTCCGGTGGAAATATTCCACGCTCGAACGCCAATGGAGGACTACGTTGATACAGCTGTGAAGCAGGCAGTAAAAGTTCATTTGGGTGGAACAGAAGGTGATATTCTTATCTTTATGCCTGGTCAAGAAGATATTGAGGTTTGTTATTTTGTATATGATGATGATTACCATTGATAAGTGTTGATAATGATCATAATGAAATGATTAAACTTTTGTTCAGAGGAAAAAGGAATTCAATAGTTCAATTTAGGTGACATGCGCATTGATAAAGAGTCAGTTAGAAGAGTTAGACGAAGCACCTCCGCTAGCCGTCTTACCGATTTACTCTCAACTACCCAGCGATTTACAAGCGAAAATCTTCCAAAAGGCTCCAGGCGGTATCCGAAAATGTATTGTTGCAACGAATATTGCTGAGACATCGTTAACTGTGGATGGAATTTTGTTTGTGATAGATCCAGGATATTGTAAGCTGAAAGTGTTCAATCCGAGAATTGGTATGGATGCTTTGCAGGTTTGTTTTGATTGATTTATTGATGGATTCAGATATGAGTTACTTGTTTTCGAATATTTTTA